GCCGTTTAAGAAAAAAGAAAAATATAATCCAATATACTTTCCTGAGGTTCCTATATTTTTGCCCTACTACCACTATAATGTATTCTGCAAAGCCAGGAAAAGTTATTTCCTTCTTTTCTTTCTTTATTTTACTTTTCCTTCCTTCCACTGCTAATTCCTTTCCACACACAGTTTTCATTAGAGAATGACAACTTTAAAATTCATTTTGCCTCATCTTTTAAATACTTATCCTTTCAATTGGGAAAAATAAAGTAAAATTGACAGATTTAAACCTTATCTGTCCTGTATAAGGTTTGTTGCCACTAAAGCTGCTAAGAAACTTCCCTTCTTATAGGGGTGCTTTATGTGTTTTTGTAAGTATACAGAATATTAAGTAGAATACACATACACATACATCTTATGAGATAACATTTTTTATTTGTCTTGGAATGTACTTTTCTTTTCATATTTAAGACAAATGAATAGGATTAAGAGCAATGAATAGCAAGAATTCATTTCCGTTTGGTAAAGTTAAAGTTAGCTTAAGATGACCTTTTTTGGTCTTTTTATTTTTATCTGTTACTAGGTTAGTAAAACAAAACAAATCATCTAAGAAATAAAAAATGATAAATTTAATAATAATGTGTCCTTGCATGGAGGAGGAAGTCTTCATTACTGTACATTACCCAGTGTAGTCAGCTATAAAAAAGACACCCAAGCACTATGTATAAACATACTTTATCTCCAAGTGCAAATATAGAAACCATAGAACAGTCTGTGCTGTGGGTGATTTCTTAGCCTTTTTAGTAATGGTTCTATAAGACAGCAGACTGCTGAGTGATAAGGGAGACTTTGAAACATAAATTCCATACTAAATTATTGGCTGCCATTCAAATTGTGTCTGCTTAGAGTACCCAGCAGCAAAGTATGTCCCAAGCAAGATTCCAAACTTAAATACTGCATTCTCCTGTCTTTCCTATGATCTATGAAGTTGAGATCACAAACTATCTGCATCCAAGAATTTTGTATGCAACAAAGATTAAAGTAAGCAAATAACTACATTTAAGGTGTAAGAAAGCCATACTGCCTTAAATTTATTGAGGAATAAATTATAAACTATAGATATTATAAGTCATTTAATGTTCAAAACAACTTTATAAGGAAATAGCATTATTACCCTCATTTTACATATGAAGAAACTGAGGCACAGAGATCAATTTGCCTAAGGTCATCTTGAGCTGAAATCTGAACCCAGGGTATCTGGCTTACTCACTCATGCTACTAACCTTTTCTGACTCCTCTTCTATGAACATACTCTGGTTATATCTTGAACTCAAACTTAAGGAATCAAAATGTATTTTATTAACTTATCTTTTTTCTATTGCTATATATATTAAAAATAATGTAAAAACAAATTTATACTGCAGGCTTTTAGATGTCATTTTTCTAATAAATTGTTACCAATCTTTTTTCTTTTAAATCTCCTGTTGAAATAAATTTCAACAAGAGCTTGCCCCCTCACTTCTCCTAGTGCTACCTTTCTAAAACCTACAAGTTTAAAAAAGAAAGATTAGACAAAAGAATGAGAATATGGATTAAACAAACTGTAAAATCGTGTATCTTAAAGCACCTGCTTTATGAAGAAATGCTCATCCGGCAAAGAGGAGAACACAGGTAGCATTATTTAGACTGGGTAACCCCCAAAGTTTCACTTCTAATTAATAAGCAAAAATTATAACCACAAGGAAACCAGTGCTTAATGAATATATTAAATATTTCAGAAATTTCATTGGAAAATTCCAAAGAGTTTCTTACTGGGTATCCATTTAAAAGAGCAAATTTCACCACTTTGACCATCTTAAAATATAAAGAGAATGTTTTTCTTTTGCTGGATACAGAACAAATTGCTTTAAAAGTATGATTCTTGATTTATCTCACCCAGTAAGGCTACAATTTTCACGAGCAATTAAAGATAATACTGAAAAATGTCTTTTTTTAGAAATACCAAGAGAAAAAGAACAGAAAAAGGATCATAATGTATTTAAATGTTTTCTTGTTCAAAGTCAGATTCTAATTCACGACCCACAAAGAGAAGGAGCCATGATTTAAATGAATTGCACCAAAAGTAACTTTAACTAGAACCTGGCACCAAAAGATGACAAAAGTATATAAGTTACAGTATTCAGAGGTCTAGGTTGATACACAGGATGTGTGTGTGTGTGTGTGTGTGTGTGTGTGTGTGTGCGCGCATATATACATGCATAGTCCAGTCCTATCTCCACTTTCTATTTTATTCCTGAGAGAATAAAATGGCTTTATCACAATTTCCACAATCAGGTACATGAGTGTAATTAAAAGTATTCATAATATTTCTGCACATGGTAAAGTCATAAGACTTTCCTTCAGAAATTTCTGAAGTAAAAAGTTATTAACTTGAGTTGCTTTTCTCGATTTTATACTTATCCATACTTTCTCATGTACTTATCATCAGATATTTAGAGCCAAAAATGTGAATGGAACACCCACAATGTGCCTGGGACTGAGAAGCTCCAAAGCCAAGTGATGCTTAGGATACTATCTTGCACCTAATAGACGTCATAAAATTGTTGTGAATATAAAAAGACAAACCCTACTTAAAAGTACCCTAATTATAATAGAGCACCAAACTGTCCAAACTTAGAAAGAATTACTTTTAAAATGTATGGTCCAAAAAATCAAACTGTCTAAACTTAGAAAGAATCACTTTTAAAATGTATGGTCCAGAAAGTAGAAGACCCTCTTCTGGGTCTTAAAGACTACACAAAGTTTATACAGGACCAGAGAGTAAATGTCTTCCATGCAGGGAGAATAACATGAGCAAAGCTGGGGCACTGAAATATTCACTGTATATGTGTTTGGAGAATGGGCCATAATCTGAAATACCTGAAGCAGAGGGACCTTGTTGTTGAGTCATGGTAGGGAGACTGGAAAAGTTAAGTAGGTGCCAGATGATGGAAGGTTTTCAAAATACCCCAGCCTAGGTGTTTGGCAGCAACTAGAAGTACCAGCAGATAACTGAAGAGTAGATAGGCAAACATAGCAATGCTTTAGTAAAACCAATCTCATGGTCATGGGCAAGATGATTTGGATGGCAACAAGGAGGAGGAGGGAGCAGCATTTTTACAATCCAAACCAGGGTGAAGAAAGCAGGCATTCGTGTGGTGGAAGACATGGCAATGGAATCTGAAAACTTTTACGTTAAAGGGGAAAGGGATGGTTCCAAAATGTCACAGAACTATGAACTTGAATGGATAGGAGAACAGATCTGCATTGTCATGGAGTGTCTGATTCTTCATATAGTGGAGGAAACCGTGTGGTTTAGTCTGAGCTGAGTTGTTCTTGATTTTCAAGAATAAATTTACAACAATGAAGACAATGATAAGAAAAATTCACTTCATCAGCAAACATGACTTTCACACAGGGCCAACTGCTGCACTTACTTAACGCCACACTGTCCCACTGACTCCAAAAGAAAGTACATGCCTAAAACTAATGGTAGATTTTGGCCTTACACATACATTTTTAAGCCAACAATGTGACCCTTCCTAGGATAAAAACAAGAAAAATGTAAAGCATTTAGTTCTAACTTTTCAAGACTCCTTCAGACAAAGCTATTTCATCTCTACTAAAGCACCAGGAGTTTCATTCTCTAACAGTAAAGTTATCAGCATGCATTTGCACTATTATTTGTGCATATTCATTACATGTGATTAGCTTATTTATTGTGTAATCAAGTAATCAGAATTATAAAACATAATATGTACTGAAATCGGTACCCTATTTCATTTTCCTGAGCATATGCTATATAAGCTTTAATTAGCTTTTCTTAAAAGAGGATCATTTTCTGAAAAGGCTGATATATTCTCATTTGTCAACAAATAATACGTTCAAAACTGGTATTGGATAAATTCTTTCTTTACATTGAGAAGAGACTTAAAAATTCTTCTTAAAATGTGCTGCTATATCTTCTTTGATATTATCCTTAGATTAGAAATTTTATTCAAATCATCATGTTCATTTAGAGGAAAAATATTTTTATGCACATCTAGCCCAAATACAAACCACCAGATGTCAATACTAACTATATCACCAATGTACAGCCATAACTTGTCATATTCAACATGAAATTGGTCACTCTAAGCAATTCCGATTAAATTGCATGGCAACTCATGGAAGGGGAGACAAGGTGCCATCAGATGAAAGGAGGACTTCCTTCACACTATAGTAACCACATTCATATAAACATATACACAACTTAAGAAAAATGTTTTCTAATCAATTAAGTTTTAAAAAACAGAATCTGTTATATCTAAATACAAGCATTACTTAATTTTTTTAAATACACAAATATCATTCTCTTGAGTAGTTATAGTCAACAACTGCAAAAGTAGTGATTTAATACCAGGTATATTTTATGCCCAGTCAGAAGCATTTGGGGTGACTCTAGTGTAACAAGGTCAGAACCAGCACAAGGTGTACCAGTGTAATCAGAGAATTAGGCAAAAGGAGATACAGCAGCAGGTTTAAAAAGTACAGCAACACAAACACCATACGGGACTTTCCTCTCATTTACCACACAAGCTGCTTAGCTAGTTTCGGTAAATGAAAGTTATTTTACTTCCAGGGAAGATATCCTTTTCAATGCTAAGCCATCCCAATTGTGAAAGGAGATGGGAAATTGTCCTTTGTCGTATTTCTGTTACCTGTCGAAGAGCATTAACTTGGCAGAAATATTTTGATGGCCACTAAAACACCATAAAATTCTCTGTGTTTAAAAGGAATTGGTATAATTTTGAGGAAGAGATTATGTTCCTGACATCTTAAAAACAATTCATAATAGTTATAATAATTTCTAAATGTGTTATAACATCGTAGAACAGGAAGAATCAAAGGAAACAGAAAAAACAGCATCAGAGAGAACTCTCTTCTTGTGCAAACAGAAATTTCATAAGAGTATAAGTACTTAGTTATTTTGGTCTTACCTGACAGCAGCTCCTTTAACCAAAGGTATGTCCTCTATGGAGGTAGTTTATCCTTTGAAGAACCCAGTGGCTTGTCTCACAGCCCAAGAAAGACTCGAGTTCTGAAAAACTATCCAGCCCAAAAGAATACAGAGGAAAAAGCTTTTCCCACTTTCTTTCCTAGGACTAGCCAATAGCTGAAGTCATGCAGGAAACAGAGCAGAGAGGGGGGAAAGCAGCTTCTTCTCCCTGAAATCCGGATCAGCAGAAATTGGAAGTTGTTGTATATCTCCCACCCAGACTTTTGTTTAAAAGTTTTTTTCAACTGTTGCTAGGTGTTGTTGGGTTCTGAGATTAGGTTTCTCCTCTTCTGCTCCCTTCACAACACTGTCAGAGCAATGACTATGTTGAGGAGCTGAGCTCGCGGGTGCTATATTTAACCAGTGTTCTCAGCAAGTCAAGCCTGTCAACAGCTGAGAAGTTTGGAGCCGGCTTTACTCAGTTCCTAGGCAGCTGGGTTATCAGTGGATACAGCGCTGCTCACCCTGTAAAAGATTGCGGGAGAACCGGCAGACCCTTTTAAGGACTTCTGCTCATTTCACAGAGGTAATTATTGTTTGAAGCTCTTAACCACAGACTGAGATTTGGGACTTAGGTTTTAAAATGTGAAGAGAAACAGAGCAGCAGTTTTCCTGGGCAGAGCAATTTACTAATGCAATATTCTTCTCAATTAGGCTCTCTCAGATAAATGTTCTGAAATAAAAAATGCTTTTTAAAAGTGTATCATTTCTTCTACATAATGGGAGGTTTTAAAAAAGTGTATCACAACTGTTGGTTGTGAAAATGAGTATGAGATCACTTCCAAACAGCTTTTGACATTTGTGTGTTTCATTTATAGCTAGATCACTTACCTAGGCATATCAGACTTTTGTTCAGCTATGTACCTGAATGTTATTAAAATAAAAATACCATAAAGGATGTCTATAACATTATGATTTTGAAAGGAGTAACATTAAGAAGGAAAATCTTAGCATCCTCACTCAGGTCATTCATTCAAAGCAACATACAGTAAACACTCCAGGAAAACCAGGACATGAGATACCTCTGGTTGTTGACAAGCTTGCCTCATCATTAACCCTCAAGACTCCACAACATGAAGAATCTCTCAAGATACTTTATGTGCTTCATTCTATATATTAAAATGGTATGGATCTGCCAAGATCAAAACTTTTAAAAAATTATTTGGCTAGCTTTTGGGACTGTTTCACTAATAACATATGTGAAATTAACAGTAAGGGGAACTGAGAGAGGTCCTTTTGGTCACAAGTAAAGTAGGAAGGGAAACACACACACCACACACAGACACACACACACACACAGAGTGAGAGAGACAGAGAGAGAGAGAAAGAAAAAAAAAAACAAAAACAAAAAACATTGTTGGTTAACAAACTAGAATATGGCCATGACAAAAATCTCACCAATACCATTAAAAAGATTGACCCTCTTCCTGAGATCAATTTACCAGATTAAAGATACCCTCTTTTTGACATGCAAACTGAAGATGAAGCGAGGATGTAATATTTTAAGTGTTGCATACTTGCAGTAAGTAGCTTATGTGCTGCATAACCCTGTCTCTCTGAGAAAGTTTGCCACTCCACACAGGAGTGTGTGTATGCCCTTCTTTTTAAAGAAATGATCCTCACCTGCTCAAGCTATTCAAAAACATCTCAGTTCTTCTTACGCCAACTAGCACACTGATAGCATGCACCCTGCGCCCTTAATGTA